TGGGGGGGGGACAAGGAGAGAGCCAGGACGAGGGGGAGGAGCGGGAGAGGTTAGGGAAGGGAAGAGAGGGTTTGGCAATGGGAGAGGGTATCTGGATATGAGAAGTAGGTTAAAGGACCAGATAGAGGATGTCACCTCAGTAAGAGGATTGGAGGGGGGGCTCAGAGGAAATGGGGGATAGGGGTTGGGGAAGAAGGGAAAGGGCTAGGGCATGAGGTAAGGGGTCAGGGTCTGGAAGAGAGCATCGGGGAGTGGGTTAGGGAATGGGGAGAGCGGGGAGTTGAGGGTTAGGATAGAAAAAGGGCGTCGGGGCAGAGGACATGGGAGGGCTGAGGCACAGCGATGGAGAGAGCCCCTGGACCAGCGGCAGGGTGGAGGCTTGGGCTGGGGAGAGGGCAGCAAGGCCAGAGGTGGGTCTTTTGGGGGTGGGCACAGCTGTGGGGTGATCTGGGACTCTGAGGAGTTCCAACTGCCCCAAGAGGGGAGTCAAGGGGCTGGGAGGCCTCTGAATGAAGGCAGAGAGAGGGTCCCAGTGGCCTAGGGTTACCCCCGACACCTCCACCCCCCCTCCACTTCCTCCCTGGCAGAGAAACTATTTCCTGGCCAGCGCTATTTCTGCCCATCCGTTTCCAGAAGGCGGGGGCTCCAGTCACCCCCTTCTCACCTCCCTGCAGTGCCCTCCCAGTCTCCAGGGAGCAGGGGCTGAAATAGCTCTGGGCAGGATGTGGAGGGCATCAGAGGACGCCGAAAGGGCTCTCCGGAGGTCCCAGTGCTGGGCCAGCAGGGGCGGCCCAAGGCCGGAGGGCGAGGAGCTGGGATGGGGCGGAGGGAGGGCGGAGGGCGCGGAGACAGGGATAGGGGAGGGGTGGGTTGAAACCTGTAGAGGGTGTGGGAAAGGAGAATACCATTTGGGGACGGGGTAGGAACTGGCTTGGAGATGTGGGTGAGATTAGGCAAGAGTAAGGATGGAGAGGAGGCAGACGTGGTTGAGTCTGAAGATGGAGGTGAACGTGTGTTGGGACTGTGAATGGATGACGTTGAAGGTGGAGGCTGGGAATGGGGGTTAGGGTTGGGACTCAGGATAGGGGTAGAGATGGGGTTCAAAATGAAGGAGGAGGCTGAGTGTGGGGTTGGGGTTGAAATTGGAGGCTGGGGAGGGACTAGGACTGAGCGAAAAGTTGGGGAGGGGAATGGGGCTGAAGGTGGATGCGGAGATAGACCTGGGGTTGGGGATGTGGAGTGAGAATGAAGAGGGGAGAGGGTGGAAGTTGCACTTGGGGGAGCGTAGAGAAATGGGCCAAGGGATGGGGCTGGGCCAGTTGGCAGTTGCCATGGCGTTGGGCAGAGTGATCAGGTTAAAGATGGCATTTGGAGAAAGGGATAGGTTGGGGATAAGCATGTAATATGTCTCAAGGTGGAGATTGCTGCTGGGGTTGGAATAAATATGGGGTGGAAACCAGAGGCATTAAGGAAGACACTAGGGCTTGGGTAGGATTGGGGTTGAGGATACCGATGGCAGTGTTATGAGTTGAATTGTCTTAGGGAGGGACATAGGGTCAAGGTCGAATGTGGGTACTTTGAAAGGAGATGGGACTGAGGTTGAGGTTGAGGGTAGGGAGGGAAAGAGGGTTGAAACTGGGGATAGAAGGGGGTTGGAGGAGGTGGGAACAAAGTTGGTGATTCACTTGTCACTGGACATGGGTGAGGTTGACGATGGCAGGTGGAGAGAGGGAGGGCCGGGGATAGGCGTGGAGATGGGGTGGGATCTGGAGCGAAGTGACCCTCTGCTGGCCTTGTCCACAGAGGCGGTCAGGGCTGGGGTGGAAATGGGGTCAGGACTCACCTGACAATGGCTCCTTCATTTTGGGGGGCTCTGGGACCTTGGGCGGGGGCTCAGGAGCCGCCTCGCCTGCAGGCACCACCCTCTCGGCCAGGGAGGCCCGCCGGGGCTTGGGCCCTCGCCCCAGTCTCAGGAAGGCCAGTCTCCTGGCAGCATCCCCGGTTGTCTCCTCATCACCCTGGGCTCGGGTCCCCTGAAACCTGGCCAGGAGGCCAAAATCTGCTGAGCTCCTGCGGATGCCCGGTGTCAGCACCCGGCCCAGGAAGGAGCGGGACTGCCCGTTGCTGGGGCTGGCCCGCCGGCCAGGGGTCCAGCCCAGCCGGAAGGGAGCCAGGCCTGCCAGCTTCTCCAGGGTGGCTCGGCGGCCACATGATGTTCCGTTGGGTAGGGTCCCCAGCCGCCCAGCTTCCTCTTCTTCCAGACCTGGAACTTCCTCAAAGGGGTTCCGAGAGGACCTCTGGGGCAGGGTTCCTGCCTTGGGCACCTTGGAATCTGCCACCCCTAGACTCTTCAGAATGGGCATTTTGACTGGTGGGGGACCTGGGGAAAAAATAATGGGCCATGAATGGTGTTGATGACAGTGGTGATGTCCATGACAATCCCTCTGTCCCAGGCACTAGGCTGAGCACTCACTAACTCCTTGAATCCTCACTTCACACTAGGTGAGCACTATTATTGTGTACATTTTGCAGATCAGGACACAGGCTCAGAAGGGCAAGAGCACTTGTCTAAGGTCCCCCCAGTGATTCAGGGACAAAGGCAGGATGCGCACACACCCAGACCCGTCTGATTCCAGAGCCGCACTCAGACCCTTCCCCTATCTTATTCTCAGGCCCTTCCCCCACTTTACTCGCCTTGGGGTGTTTGTCATCTTAGTTCACCCTCCTACTCCATGAAGAAACAGGCTCAGAGAGGCACAGGGTCTCTCTCACAGTGGCACAGCGGCAAAGGGCAGAGACTGCTTGGGACCCAGGACCCATCATTATCCAGGTCACACACCTGCTTCATCTCCCCTGTCACCTCTACCCCATTCATTCCTCCAGCAAAACCTTACTCAGAAATATCCACAATAGGCAAATCCACAGAGACAGAGACAGAGACAGAGATGTTAGTGGTCACCAGGGGCTGGGAGACCCGACTGGGGAGTGATTGTAATGGATACAGAGTTTCCTTTTAGGGGGATGAAAATGTTCTGAAACTAGATAGAGGAGATGGCTGACCACACTGTGAATGTACCAGATGCTACTGAATAGGACGCTTTGAAATGGTTAATATGGCCCTGGCCAGGTAGCCCAGCTCGTTAGCGCACCATCCTCATATGCCAAGGTCACAGGTTCAA